GGAAGAGGGGGTGGAAGGGGAGGTGGAAGGGAGGAGGAAAGGAAGGATAAATGAGGAAAGAATTGGAGGGAGGGAAGGAATGATGGAATGAAGGAGGGAACAAAGGAGGCGAGGAAGGAGGGAGCAACGAGGTAAGAAAAGGAAGGTGGGAGGGAGAAAGGAAGGAAGGAAAGAGGGATGGAATGAAGAAAGGAAGGAGAAAAGGAATGAGGGATGGAAAGAGGGGAAGAAAGGAGGGGTGGAAGAAGGGAAGGAAGGAGGAAAGGAATGAGGAATGGAAGAAAGGGGTGGAAGAAGGGAAGGAAGGCAAGGGAAGAAAGAGGGAAGGAGTGATGGAATGAAGGAAGGAGGAGAGGAATGAGGGAAGGAAGGAAGGAGGGGTGGAAGGAAGGAGGGATGGACAGAGAGGAGGAATGGATGGAAGGAAAGAGGGATGGGTGGAAGGAAGGAGGGAACAGGGGGTTGGTAGCCCTGTGACTCCTCTGTGTTTATTGAGGGGTGAGGTGAACCTGCTCAGAGATGTGGGGGAGCCCCTGGGCAGGGCATGGATGTGTGTCCCAGGGCTGAGCAGGGCTGGGGTGTCCCCAGAAGAACATTCCCAGCATCCTCTAACAGATTTGTACCCTGTTCTGTTCCCTCCCCACAAAGTAGGCCTCGATGATCCTTAAGGGTCCCTTCCAACTCTGTACGTGCTGTGATTCTCTGAAGTTAAAGGGAGGACACCAGGATGGTTGAGAACTCCCCAGCACCATTGCCAGAAAGGGCAATATATGGATTTGCTCTTTTTTTAGGATCATGGTTTGGCTTCAGTAAGTATCTTGGGAAGTAGCCTCACCCAAAAGTGTGGCTTTATTTAGGAGACAAGTGTAATTCCCAACTGGCACAGGTTGCCCAGAGCAGCTGTGGCTGCTCCATCCCTGGGAGTGTTCCAGGCCGGGTTGGATGGGGCTTGGAGCAGCCTGGGCTGGTGGAAGGTGTCCCTGCCAATGGCAGGGGGTGGAACTGAATGATTTAAGGTCCTCCCAGCCCAAACCATTCCATGATTCTCTTAAGACCGTCCCAAAAGGATCAAACTGGTGTTCCAGCCCCTGTTTTAAGGGTGATGGAGCACTGAGTGAGCATTGCTGCCAAGCCTTTCAGGTGTTAGAAACTTCTTTGTGATCTTTTCACCTTTTGTCTATCTTTAACCATATTCCATGATCAAATTACTTGAAGAGTTCTCTGCATGCTCATTTTAGTCACTTTTGTTTCAGTCACGTGCAGTTTTTCTATTGAGTAGCCACTGTAGATGTAGTGTTACCTTTCCCACCAAAATACTGGAAAAAATCCTAGAAATTAAGTCTATGTGGTCAACAGCAACAGAAAATCATTTGGTTTCTACCACCTTTTCTCTGCTGGTATGACAGATTCTTTAGGCTTGCACTGGGGGTATCTCAGGTGCCCACACAGACCCAAGTTTGAGAGGGTTAGAACACTTCTTCAACAGAGGAGAAGGTGCTGCAAAGATCCTGTGGGCAAAAAATGAAGCAGGATGCTGCTGTTAAGTCTCTCTCACCCTTAGGAGTAAGTAGAAATGAAAACAAGTTGGTTTCTGTGCCTCTCGCAGGAGGCCACTGTGACTTGTGTCAGTTTGGCACTGACCTCTTCCCCCCAAGTGTGGTTAAACCTTTGTCTGGAGTTGTTGTTAGGGAGCAAAATTTATGTGTGTTGTTGTTGACATGAAAGTTACAAACTTGCCAGGGATCACAAAGGATTTGCAGTCACTTTTTCAGTGCAGTTTAATCCAAGCTGTGCAGTTCCACCACTTTTTCTTCCAACCATGACTCACTGTGTGATCATTTCCTGCATTTAGGTTCCTTTGGCCTCCTTTTACTGAGGTTTTGGGTAAGTTTTTTTGGTGCTCTGTAGTTCAGCTTGGAATAAATTCTTGTCTGTCTCCATAGGAAATCCAAAGTTAATGTTAAATCAAATATAAAAATGATCCCATAGAACCAGTTACCAACTGTTGCCTTACTGGGCAGGTTTTGTGTCTGAGGGACACATTCTGGTGGAGCTGTTGTGGTTTAAATAGTGTGAAATCAAAACCTGGGATGTCTAAAACAGTCTCAGTCTCACTGTTGAATTCTGTTGTGCAGTTTTGTACCTTATCTGGGCATATGTTCCTGAGACTTGGCTGTTCTCCTTGGGACTGACATATTGGCCTCAAAAGTAAGTTCAACCAGTGATCCTCTTAAGCCTGAGTATGTGTAACTATAGCACACCCTTAGTTATACCAAAACTTTGTTAAATACTTGTGTTAAATGCATTTTTTCCCGGATGATAAAGGACTGTAAAGTTTGGGAGGTGTTGGTTTCTGTGGGTATCTAAAGTAGCTACGGTGAAACTTCTCCATTGCGTAATGAAACTAATAATATTGGAATGTTTTACGGTAAATGTGACATTTTTTGGTCACAAACTTTACTTCAAACCATACTTAAAAAATATTCCTCTTCTGTAAGGAAGGTCCATGTTCAGGTGTTGTTTCTTCTCCTCTTGGCTCAGTTTGTGCTATGACAATAACAACATTAAAAGTCTTATGCCATGAGGCATTTTTATCATGATATCTACATTTTACCCTCTGTTTCCTCAGGTACTGGGCAGTTGCTTTGCCAGTGTACCTCCTGGTTGCTGTAGGAATTGGTTATGTATTGCTTTTTGGCATTAATATGATGAGCACAGCTCCACTGAACTCCACAGAGACCATCACAGGTAATCTTAGTGGTGTGTTGATACCTAACTCTGTAAATACATCTGGGCCATGGCAATCCCAGGCACGGCTACAGGTTGGCTGAGGAAGGAATTGACACCAGCATTGCCCCTTAGAGTAGCTAAGTTTGTACCCTGAGATTACACAGCATCTCTTGAAAGAAAAGGATCATGACTATGGAAAACCTTCTCATTATCTGTTACAGATAACTATGCAAGGAAGCAGCAGCAGAAGAAATTTCAAGAGGAAGCAATTCCAGCACTGAGGGATATTCCCATCAGTGAAGTAAACAGAATGTTCTTCCTCCCTGAAAAAGGAATCTGCAATAGCAGATAGATGTGACGAAGGTCTGTTTGAACAAAGGATTATGACAAGTGTTAGACAAGGACAGTCAAGGCCTTTCTAAGCTGAAAAAAATGAAGCTTTTCTTTCCTTTTTTTCCCCTGGAATTTCTAACACATTTTGTTCTTTGAATGCACCTTCAGAACCTGCACTGATCTGAGGATTCAGCCACGTTCATTTATCAAGCCATTCTTGTGAGTTTAAAAGAGTTTCGTTACTTGTGGCTTTCTGCTTGTAATTTCCCTCTGAGAGTTAAACACCTTTTGGGCAGAGTTTAATTCCGTTTCCCTCTGAATCCAGGGGTAGCTAAGTGCTTGAGGATCTTTTTTACAAAGTTACATTAATTGGAAGTGTTTACATTGTAAATATTCTTTTCCTTTGTAAATATGAATTAAGTGTGGCTAATTTTTACCTGTTCGGGTTTTTCTGTGGGTCTGGGATAATTTTTCCTGGATAAAGGTGGTTTTTGATCCATTTCTCTTTACACAGTTTTTATTCGGCATAGTATGTTGATCCGTGGCAATCCCAGGCACAGCTACAGGTTGAGTGGGGAAGGAATTGAAACCAGCAGTGAGGAGAAAGACTTGGGAGTGACAGTGGATGAGAAGCTCAGCATGAGCTGCAGTGTGAGCTCAGCCCAGAGACCAATGGAATCCTGGGCTGCATCCACAGCAGTGTGGGCAGCAGGTCAAGGGAGGTGATTCTTCCCCTCTGCTCTGCTCTGTGAGCACCACCTGGAATACTGCACACAGTTCTGGTGTCCCCAACATCAGAAGGACATGGAACTGTTGGGGCAAGTCCAGAGTTGGCCACGAAGTTGCTAAGAGCACTGGAGCATGTCCCCTATGAGGACAGGCTGAGGGAGTTGGGGCTGTTCAGCCTGGAGAA